GCCATTTGTCACTCTCCCCAGCTACAGCAGGCCCTTTGCCACCTGCTTTATTTGTCTCCCAGCCCTGACGTGGCATCAGACAGGTGTTAAACTACTTAATCACTTTAAAATTGTTTTAATTTTCTGTTTTCTATTGATCGCCACAGCACCAATTAATCAGCTCACTGGACCAGGCAGTTAGTACATTAAAAATTGTCAGCCACACTGGGCAGCTTAGAAAATGTCAAAAAAATATCCCAGCAGCAGCCCCTCACTTCTCCTGCCACCCGGAGCTGGCTCTGGCTGCACGAAGACTCTGCCCAGGGAGGGTGATGGGGCTTAAGGCTTCCCCAGCCCCACTGTGAGGCCAGGCTGTAGGGCAGGATAGTGCTGCCCATGGGACCCGGCCCCATGGTTCCGCCAAGGGCCTGTCAGCTTGGCAACCACTGGTGTTTGTCCTGAGGAGCAACAGAAGGGCTGCATGGCTGAGGAGAATGTGCTACCAGCCACACGCTCACTGTGGGGCTGGACAGGGACATACAGGGAGGATCTGTCCTGGGAAAGTCCCACTGAGAAGTCACAGCTCCTTGCAAAGTCCCCCCAGGCCAATAAGCAACAAAAAGTGACCAAGTGGAGAGGATATGAAGCCAAATATCAGCCTTGGGGCAGCTGCATGACACAGCAGAGGTTTGCAGCCTTTCACTACAGCTCCACGCCACAAGAATGGTGCTCAGGGCCTCTACAAAGCCCTGGCACTTGAGGGACTTGGGATATTCCCAGGGGTGGACTTGGTCACCAGCCTGTCCCCAGATGCTACCTGCAGCTGCTGGGAAAGGCAGCTTGGGTTGCAGCCCTCAGCACCTCCTCCGTCACATTGCTAATCGGTGTGTGATGGGCCGGCAGCTCCTTATCTCCTATCGATTTCCTCCCAGGACACGGCCGGTCTGTTTGCTCGCCCCCGGCTGCCACTGGGGCTGCACATCGGCCCATCGGGGGCCCCAGCAGTGCCTGTGCCAGCAGGAGCCCTTCAGTAGCACCTCAGCCCCGGGGACGGGCGGCTCGCACAGTGAATGGGGCGACCCACGGGAGGCACAGCCCC